TATAATTTTCAATGGCTGATTTTTCAGAAGTAAACCTCCAGGTCTTTCTTCCACAGTGCCTCTGAGCTATCAGCTGAGCATATTAATCGTTGGAACCACCCAGGGACTCCTACCTAGCTCACTTTTGTTGTTAGCTGCTGTCACATCTACTCCAGCTCATAGTGACCTTTTGTTGGGGGTCTTTCACTTTTTTGTTGACCCTCTACTTTATGAAACTTTATGTCCTTCTCCAGGGACTGGCCCCTCCTGGCATATCCAAAGTATAAAATAGGAAGTCTCGTCGGTCTCGCTTCTAAGGAGCATCCTGGATGGACTTCTTCCAAGACAGATTCATTTGTTCTTTACAGTCCATAGCGCTTTCAGTAGTCTTCAGCACCACACATAATTCAAATGCAACAATTCTTCTCTGGTCTTCCTTCAGCTCTCACTTGCATATGAGGTGTAACTGAAAATGCTATAGCTTTGGTCAAGCGCACCTTGGTCTTCAAAGTGACATTTTTGCTCTTTTACACTTTAAAGAGATCTTTTGCAGCAGATTTATCCAAGTCAGTAAATCCTCTGATTTCTTATAATCCAGTGCTTATTTTTCTTACGTATATATGATTCCATGAGCATTGATTGTGGATCCAAGTAAAATGAAATCCGTAACAACTTCAGTCTTTTCTCCATTTATCATGATGTTATTCATTGGTCCAGTTGTAAGAATTTTTTAATTTCTTTACATTGAATTATAGTCCATATTGAAGATTGTAGTCTTTGATATTTGTGTTTTTTTGTGTGTGTGTCTCTTCCTGTTTTGGAATTCTGATCACATATAAGTTATCCCTCTTGATATTTTCCCACATAAATCTTAGGCTTTCTTTGGATTTGTTTCTTTTTTTTATCTGATTGTTCTGAACTTGAAGAAAAATCTCTAGATTTTTCTTCAAGCTCAGTAGTTTGCCTTTCCATTGATTGAATTGTGCTGCTTTGCCCTGTTAGTGTATTATCTATTTCTGCAGTCTTAATCTTCTGGTTTTCTAATTGTTGATTTTGTTTAGTTTCCATATTTTTGTCAGCTTGTTTCTTGAAGTTTTCCATAGTTTTGTCTGTATTTTCCTTGATTTAATCTTTGGTTTTCTATATTCCTTTTCACAATCCATTGAAGTTGCCTTATTAACATTCTTTTAAATTCTTTATCAGGTGGTTCTGATACCGTTTTTGGTGTTATATTTTCTGACTGTGTTTTGGTTTCTTGTTTGAGGCACGCACTCTTGTTTCTTTGTGTAAGTTTCTTTGTATAAGTCTGTTTTCTCTGAGACATTGTGGTGTCATATTTCTTTTTAATGGATGAGTGTTGATTGTTGTGTTCTCAGTCACTCACCACCTGCCTCCTGGTGGATGTGGTAGAGACTGCAAGTGTGAACACAGTTCTCTATCACTATTTGTGTAGTGTAGTTCAGGGTAGGTTCCTGTGCCTCCAGTAAAAGGGATGCTGTGCCTGGCCCCAAACTAGTAGAGGCTGTGCAGGAGGGGATGCTACTGACCTCTGGGTTCATGAGGGCAGGGACTGGCCACATCCCTGCCTACCAGGAGGGCACAGAAATAAGGGAGAATTGTACCCCCTTGCTGCCAACCTACAGCTGCATCTTGTGCCTGCAGGCTTCTGGATCAGCAGTCATTTGCAAAAGCTCAAGATGGCTGCCCTGTGTCCATTGTTGTTATTGCTAAGTGTTGTTGATCCTGTTTCGACTCATAGTGACCCTATATAGAGTTTCCGAGTTATGACTGGTGAGTTTGAACTGCCGACCCTGTACTCAGATGACCTTGTGCTTAGTAGCACCATGCCAGGGCTCTCAATATATTGCAAGTCACAGCTTGAACATTGTTTTCAATTCTTTCAACTGAGAAATGTTGAGGATGTTCTTCCCTTTTGTTTAATACTTCGTCTTCTCCAACTGTTCAGCTCTTTTACTTCCTCATAGTTTCCCTATGTTCAAGAACAAGTTTCAGAATCTCTTCTGACATTCACTTTCCTCTCTTCTTTCTTTCCTGTCTTTTAAATGACCTTTTTCTTTAATATGAATGATTTTTTTTTTTTTTTTTTATTATGTCATTCCACAACTCCTCTGGTCTTTGGTCATTAGTCATTAGGTCATTAGTAACTCTTCAGTACCTTGATCAGGTCCTCGCGTTAGCTTGTTGTTGGTATTGTTAAGTGTCGTTGAGTTGGTTCCAATGCATAGCAACCCTGTATAGGGTTTCCCAGGAACAATTGGTGGATTTCAACCACTGACCTTGTGGTCCAGTGCCTTATCCTACAGTGCCACACTAGGACTCCTGGCATTAGCTGGTGCTCAATAAACTGGAATGGCTCCATGAATTAATTTTCATGCATGAAATCTGATTAGAACAAAAAGTTCTCCCCACAGCAAACACAAAGTGAGTTAAAGATGAAAATTTAAAATAAAATACATTCCCCACCCCCACAGCCATTAAATCAATTCTACCTTATACAGCCTTGTAGGGCAGAGTAAAAGTGCTCCATGGGGTTTCCAGAGCTTCAGATCACTATGGAAACAGACAGCCTCTTTTCTCCTGCAGAGTAGCTGGTGGGGTGCAGCCACTGAACTTTCAGTTTTATTGTTGCTGTTAAGTGCCATAGAGTCCGTTCCAACACATAGCTACTCTACGGAGGGTTCCTAGGAGCAGTTGGCAAGCTTGAACCATCAACTTTGAGGTTCAAACCAACTTTGTAGTCCAGTGCATTCACCCATAGCACCACACCAGCAACCCAAATTAAACCAGTGTGCCGCCAGAACTCTTTTTAAAATTTACTATGTAGTATGCTTTTTAAAATAAGGGAATGACTAGTTTACTTTAAAATTATATCTTTTCTTTGGGTTTCAAATGGATGGCTAAGGTTTTCTTGGGTAAACTTAAACTTTGACCTTCAGATACGTTAAAGTAAAAACAAAAATGAATACCCCTTCACTTAGCACTTAAGGACCTCTGGTAGTGTTGTGGGGTTTGCTAGCCACAGGTTGGAATCTATCAGTCACCCTGCAGGAGAAAGATGAAGTTTTCTTCTCCCATAAAGAAAGACTTACTGCCTTTTGAAACCCTACACAGAGTTTCTGTGGGTCAGGACTGACTTGACAGCACATAGCAAGAGCAGAAGCAACACTTAATCCTGTCATCACCAGCAAGTGAAATGAGACATGAAAGACTTTTGGTTCCAAATTTGCAAAAATTTGCTTTGAATTTTTCCCTTTATCCATCATAATTATTTTCTATCTTACAAACATGGTAGAATCAACAAACTTAGCCCTGGTTTTATATTAAATATATTCAAACCTAATAATCTTTCCATTTTATTGGCGTATGTGTGACTCTTTAGAGATAATAGTTGTTAAAGCATTAATTTTAAAGGGTGAGTAAAATTTTAGTTTTTGTAATTCTTTAGAAATTGTCTCATTTAAATAAATGGAACCAATTTTATTTATACAGTTTTCTTCTTTTAGAAATTCTGCTTTATTTTCCATTTGTGGAAGTGTGTATTAATTTCACATTTTTTTAAAATTTCAGGTAACTTGGGTTTTTACTCCTGTAACAACTGAAATAACAAGTCTTGATTCAGAAAATATAGATGATATTTTAAGTAAGTATCTTAGTATTTTTTAAAGTATAATGTATTGTATTTGTATAAACAATGATATCTTGGTTATCTAGAATTGTTGTACAGTTGGCATTCTGATTAATTCTATAACTGAACAAAATGCTTTTGGTTTCCATCTTCAGTAAAATTTCTTAAAGTGTGTACATTACTGTGCAAATAAGTAAATAAATTTATAAACATTTAGGCTTATTTTGTTTCTTTGCCTTACTATAGATGCCACACTTAATACTTCCCAAAATATTTGGTAAGCATTGTTAGAGACCAGGAATTCCCACAGTATAGTACTGATTGTTACTGACTTTGGGTAGCCTAGAATGTGTTTGTCTTCATTCTAATTAAATCACCTATTCTAGTTTCATTATTGTCATTTAGCCAAGTAAATTCAATAAGTGTTACAGAATGCCTTATTTACTGAAAATGTGATTGCACTTATAATTAAATTGGGAGGAGGAGTTATTTTTTAAAAACATAGTAAAGTGAAGGTGAAGATATGGTTTATAGAAAATTACAAACATAGGATCTTTAGAAAGTATACGTTGTGCATACATTTTATTTCTTATTTTTTAAGAACTCCTTTTAACCCACTGGTTTGAGCTTAAATCAAAAGTAATAGCGATAAAAGGAACTACATCATTCATTGGGCATGATATATTGTTTTGTGTTTTTGAAACTTATATTAAATGTTAATGTCTATTGTGGTGCTGTAGGATAAGCACTGGGGGACCGCAAGGTCAGTTTGAACCACAAGGTTGGTGGTTCAAACTTACTAGCCGCTCCTCAGAAACCAACAACAGCACAGTTCCCACCTTATGGGATCTCTTAAGAGCAGTGATTTTTTGTAATTTAGCATGCATCAGAATTGTCTGTTGTTGAGTCCTCTACTATTAGTAACATATATTAGTAACATCCTGTTAGGCCCCACCCCTTGATTAGAAGATTATTGATAGGCTTCACCCACATAGTTGCGTTTCTATAAGTTCCTTGGCAATGTAAATGCTTTTGATCCAGAGACCACACTGTTTGAGCCATTGCTTTACAAGAAAAAAACAAGGGGATAAAAAATGCTTGGAAGGTATAAAAAGGAAGATGAGCATTAAAACTCACAGACCTTTCTCACTCATTTTATGTCTCAATTTCTGGAATATCTTTTTTGTTTTATTTTGGTGACTATTTCAGGAGTTTATGTAAGTTTCTCCGAATTCAAGTTAGGCAAATGTAAGGGAGCTACATCTTTCTTCTGCCTTCACATTCTGATATGCAAATGGTAGTAAGTTATTTTTGCTGCAGAGAAGAAAATGGATTTTGTTGTTGTTAAGTGCTGTTGAGTCGATTCTGACTCATGGTGACTCTGTGTAAGGTTTCCGAGGAGCAGGTGGTGAGCTTGAGCCACCGATAGGACCCAGTAAAAATGCTTATCTCCAAGACTGTTAGTTGTAGACTACTTGCTTACAATGAGTTGGGACATGTGAGATGTTGAAACAGCTTATTCAGGTCTCTTATGTGAAATAGAATTTTGCTTGCAGAGTTAATTCTCAGTGATTCATGGAAATGGAAGATCAAAAAAATTGTCACATTCCAAAATTCTTTCTAAACTTTGAGTACTCTGCTGTTACACTTTTTGTGAGGATAAACTGTTGAGTCACTTCCCTTGGCTGATCCGAGTTTGATTTGTCATTTATTTATTTTCTTTTAATATGCACTGAAGGGTTTATGTAGGCCTCCCATGACTCTCTATATTGGTTTCTGAGGGAGAGGCCAGTTAATCGTTATTGAGAGTCTAAGTGGGACCTTATAGTGGGAAAAGATCATGATGCTAGCCTTATCTTTAGTTATCGCATTATTGTATATAATCACAAATAACATTGGTTGTTTGATTTTGTTTTTCAATTTCAGACAATGCTGATGTTGCTTTAGTAAATTTTTATGCTGACTGGTAAGTAATAATCTTTGTGTTTTGCTTGCTCATCATTTAATTTTTTCCTTGCTATAAATGGGTGGATGGGAAAGTCTTATTCAACTGCAACATCAAATTCCATAGACTAAATCAATTAAGGCTCATCCACAAATAAAATAGCTAAATTTGATGACGTTTTGTCTTTTAAGAGAGAAATATAATTGATCCCATTCACCCACATCTAAACTAGTAGGAGCAAGTAACAAAAACTCAGGTATGACAAAATTCAGTTCTGCGTTTTTCTTAGCTGAAGAAGTAGGGCGGGCAGGGTTTGGAGGTGAGGTTGTAGGTATGGCAAGTTTAGAAGGAAATATGCTGTTGATAGTTTTCAACTCATACCATCTCCTGCCTCTTTAGAGAAACCTTTACTCTATCCTTTGGTTGAATCAGACTCTGTCTTTTGTATTCAAATGTACCCAATTTTTTGTCTTACTGAATTGCTTTGTATTTCATCTTACTTATTCATGTCCAAGCAATTAAACTTTGAGGACAGAGATAATATATTACTTAGTATCCCCAGAATCTAGAGCAAAGACTTAAGGAGCATCGTGGCTCTGCATGATAAGCAGTGGACTTCAAACCACATGTGGTTTGAGCCCACCAGCCACTCTGTGGGAAAAAGATGAGGCTTTCTACTCCTGCAGAGATTTATAGCCTCAGAAACCCTATACAGGGTTGTTATGAGTCTGAGCCAATACGATGACACTTAACAAGAGCAACAGAGTAAAGACTTTATATGTAGATGTTCAGTGAATGTGGCACCAAGATAGGAGGAAGATTCCTGCAATAGGCTCCTAATTTGTTTACTGTGCCTCTAGTTTAATATGTCTGACTTCAGTGTAAACCAGAGTCATCTTATCTAGGTGTAAATCAGATTTGTTTCTAGCCCATCTTTAAACCCATAAATAGTTTCCCATTACTTCAAGGTTAAATTTCAAGTCCCTTACCTTGTTCCAGAAGGTCCCTCACGGCCTGCTTTCTGCTTAACGCTACAGCTAGCTGTATCACCTTGTGTTTTGCTCTCTCCACTCCCACATTCTGTTCCAATTATACTTCTTTCAATTCCTATAATATTCTTCTTCATAAAAGACTCTTATCTTTAGTCATAATATTTCCTCTTCCTGGGTGGATCACTGTTCTTTAACCCATGTTCTGGAGCAGAGACTGGCAGGCATAAAAAAAAATGTCTCACTCTGCTCCACAGCCCCTTGGTAGGCAAAACAGTTCCCCAAAGTAACCTGCCTTTCTAGTGGAGTCCTGGTGTGGCGCTGTGGGTTAATGCACCAGACTGCAAAACCGTTTGAAATGCAAGGTTACCGGTTCAGTCTCACCAGCTGCTCTTCAGAAACCCTATACAGGGTCACTGTGGGTCATAACTGACTTGACGGCACTTAACAACAACAACAATCATCTTTAAAATCTGAAATTAGATGCCCCTCTCTAGTTTACCTTTGGGTTTTTTTTTTTTTAACTTTTCATTGTGAATTGGGTGAAGGTTTACAAAGAAGACCATTAGCTCTACATTCAGCAAACTATACACCTTGTTTCATCTCAGTGATTAAAATACTCTCCCTGCAACAACATTTATCCTACTTCTTCCCTGTGGCTTCCCATTTACATCTTCTATTTCACAAATTATACAAGGCAAAAATATTTGGCGCACACTTACAAAACAAAAAAATAAAGTAGTCAATTAAATGTCTAAAGAGCACATTCTACCAGTCAGCCTCCTGCCCACAGGCACACAGCCACCGCCTCTGCTGTCACTGTGTTTCTAAGGAAGGATCACATGCTCCATTCATGCTCTTCCTTCTTGAAGGTCCTGGGGTTGTGTGTTCCTGAATTGAAAGATTACCTACTCCTTCCTTGTAGTTACACATCTTCTACAATTACAGTTGTGACAATTGCAATGAATCCTGCTCATAGTTACTCACAATGGAATCGTAAAATCCTATCACTATCGTCCTCTGCCCCTTTCACCAGATCCATCTGGGAAAGAGGGAAACTATTCAGTTGGGATCCTACCTTGCCCCCCTAAGCACGGTCATGAAAGCTTGTAAGCCAGCCACTTCATGCCTTTGTAGCTCCCCATTGTTGATAGCCAGTGTCTAAATTTCTAAGCCTAGTACACTGAGGAAACAAGGCTGTTCCTTGGTATGAAGAATCCTTCCATTCTGGTTGGAATTTTGAGTCACTGCATTCATAGGCAAAAGTCTAGTTTATTAAATTGTAGCAATTTGCACTTGTTCTCTATATTAAGCATCTTTATCTTCCTCAGTTCGAGTTCTGGTCAACTAGCCATCCAAGATAGGTCACATGGGTACTAATTACAAGTTTGGAAGTTCATTCTCACCTCCCTGTACATTAGACCAGCTGGCTGCTTCACTCCCAGCCCTAGCCCCCAGGCACTAGGTCAGTGCCTGTGGGCTCAGGAGTTCACACATCTTCCTACACTTCAGACCAGCTCGCCACCTTACCTTGATCAGTACCCCAATCCCTCTTCTGTTCCTTCTTATGTCTTCCCACATAAAGTCTTATACTTTTAGCTCCAAAGGTTGGATCCTGAGTTCTCTCCTGAAATTATGGATGTGGCACAGTTCAAGGAAGAATTCTCTTTGTTATTCTTGTTAAGTTCCCTTGAGTTGGAATGATGCAACAGCACTTACTTACCAGCAATACAACTAAAATAGTGATATACTTCACAATATAATAAGCCACACTAGATCCTTAATAATGTTAGTATGTGCCAGGTTCTTTACAAACTTTATTTTAATACTCAGAACTACCCTGCATGTAGGTATTTGGGTGTTATAATTTTCCATTTTAGGTTGAGGGACTTGAGTTTCAGAAAGGTCATGTAACTAATAGTGGTGAAACTAAAATTTAAATTCATGTATGTTTGACTCCAAGGAACCCTGGTAGGGCAGTGGTTAAGGGCTTACTGCTAATTAGAGGGTTGGTGGTTTGAACCCACCAGCTGCTCTATTAATTACAGCATTGGAAACCCTTTGGAGCAGTTTTGCTGTCACCTGCACTGAATCAGAATCGACTGAAGGACAGTGGGTTTTTTGTATGTTTGACCCCAAGACTTGTTTCCCTCACACTGGGTCAAGCTAGTAGTGGTGTAGTGGTTGTGTACTGTCGAGTTGGTCCCAACTCCTAGTGACCCTGCATAGTGTTTCTGAGGTGTCAGCCTGTACAGGGGCAGAAAGCCTCATTGTTCTTCTGTGGTGTGGCAGGTAGATTCAGATTGCTGGCCTTCTGGGTAGTAACCCAGCTTGTAATCTGCTGTGCTTACCAGGGCTCCTTGGGTCAGGCTAGTTAATTTCCCTAGAGTGTCTCTGCACCTATTTCGTTGGTTTGTAAAGGGATGATTCTGTTCTAGATTGGAAATTGGACTCAGGTGATCACTTTTAATAGCTCCATTTCTTCTGTGATTTTAACTTTGTAAATGTAATATATCCATGTTTGGATACATGTGATGAAGGTATGGTAATACTGGTATTGAACTTTTATATCATCTGAGCCTTTTACCTTTTGGTATTAAAACCGATCCTATTTAAAACTTAAACTCTGGTAGCGTAGTGGTTATGAATCGGGCTGCGAACCACAAGGTCAGCAGTTCGAAACTACCAGCTGCTCCTCAGGAGAAAGATGAGGCTGTCTGTTCCCGTAAAGATTTACAGCCTCGGAAACCCTGTTCAGGGTCGCTATGGGTCGGAACCGACTTGACGGCACTTAACAACAATTTAAAACTTGAACCTGTGTTTAAATACTTGCTGGGCAGCAAAGTAGACAATCCAATCAGAAGATATGTGTCTTGACCTTGTCCTTAAGCCAGGAATCGGTCCACTAATCTGTAACCTAGTTCTTCAAGCAACCATCGATCAGTCCCTCTCCTCTTACCTCCCTCTGCCCTTTAGCACCCGACTTTTAGCAGACCATTAGAACCCACAAACCTGGGGTCCTAACCTCTGCAGTTCCTCCATTCTGTCAGTTTATTTAATAGACATCTATTAAATGCTTATTAGATTATGTAGTCCAATAAGACACGGTCCCTGATGTCCACAGACCCCACCCACCTATCCCAGATGGGAGAGATTTAAGAATGCTAAAAGAGGAAAGAGCCACTTGAAAGCAAGAGATTGAAGATACAGATTGTGTCTCCCTGATATATTCTAGGACATCTCCTTAGGAAGTCAGGTGAGTCGGCTAGAAGAGATGTATATAAGAAGAAATAGGGAGGAAGCATAAAATTTACATTCTTGCATAGGCTTTATGATATCTCTATTGAATTAAAGCAAAAATGTATAACCTAATCACATGTATTAAAGAGTTCATCGCTTCATTTAGATAAATTTGTTAGTGGGAAAAGATTTTGAAAGCAACTGTAGCAATCACAGCTTTTGTCTGTTAACAAGAACTCAGTGCCCTTACACTTGAGAAAATGACTATTCTAACCTAACTAATTCTCATTCTTCCCTTCTTTCTTACGAGGTCCTGTTCATGACCAGCATCATGTATTTGTAAAGTCATTGGCCTGATTAAGAGCCAGTCAGAATTAGAAGTGTGCTGTTTCTGGAATTTTGTGGGGTTTACCCCCTTTTTAAAGGAAAGAAAGAAAGAAACAGAAAATATAGTCAGGAAGGCTTGTTGTGGAATTAATAATGCTTGCTTTTGGACTTAGTATATATACTTATAAAAGCCAATTTTAAAAACAGGTACAGTTTGAAGGGGAATAGTTCACTGTATACTTTTAATTAATGTAACTTTTTTATTTATTTAGAGTTTGATTGAACTAGCCAAGTTTATGCCTCATATTTGCAGTGAGCTTACTATTTTAAAGATTTTATATACCACCTAAAAATATGTGTGTTATTTACAGAAAGCTAGACTGCTTTTGATAAGTGTTCCCGTTTCCATGTATACAAGTCCTGGTAGATACCTAAGACAGAAGGCTTATTTCAGAGTTGTTTCATGACCAATGTGATAGATCTTTAACAGTGGGCTTCCTAATGCTGGCAAGGTTCTTTAAATGTGAAAAACCAAAATCTTTGAATTATTTACACCATCTTGAATTGGTATGGGCTATTCCAAATTGCCTTCCCCTCCATTGAATGGCCTCAGGACCTATGAAATTTTATTATTTCTGCTTTCACTTCTAAATGGTTTTCTTCTCTGTGAATAGGTGTCGTTTCAGCCAAATGTTGCATCCAATTTTTGAGGAAGCTTCAAACGTTATTAAGGAAGAATACCCCAGTGAGAATCAAATCGTGTTTGCCAGAGTTGATTGTGATCAGCACTGTAAGTAGCTCAGTAGGAATTTGGAAGACACTGTCTTATCCCCTCTCCTACATACCCACACACACGCTCTGTTTCTAACGATTCACGTTCTGTGGAGAGCAAACCAAAAAAGTGACCTTGGTTAAATTGCTAATATTTCATCTTTGTTTACTTGTAACATTACTTTAAATTTTGCCTGTGGAATAGTTTTTTTTGTTCTCATTTAAATGTATTATGGTGGTAAATCATAACTGGCAATGTTTTCTACCAAAGCAAATTAAAAATTTGATAAACAAGATTGAAGTATAGTTTCAGAAGAAAAAATTCTGAAAGCAATTTCTTTTATTTTGAAAATAATAGAAAAATACCGTTTATAGTCATTTCAAATAAGATAATCTGATTTTTTTTTTTCTGTGCTTCTGTTATTTAAAAGGTTCCCCTAAGATAGACCTAGACTATCTTTGAGATATTAGTACCTCTGGTTACTAATCATAACTACTGATTGCCGAAAAAGGGCATGGAAGGAGACATCTAACTTCATCAGGGGGACGGCGAGTCAAACTCAACATCAGCCCGGAGATCAGACATGCCCCCACCCTCCAACCTTCTTTATTGGTTCCAACCCCAGCCATTTCTCCCAGAGCCATCTCTGTTCAGCTGGCCATGATAATCATTGCGTGGCCACACGGACTCAGACATCATACTTACAGTAATGGAGTTTAGTAGGAAAGTGAACAGGTTACAATTTAGGATTGGAAATGCTCAGGAGACAGTTCTTCTAGTCAGGACAGCCTCTTTTTAGGCTACAGACAGGCCTCCGTGATCCTTGGCCTCTCAGCCATGGGCCCCTTGCTATTCCAGCAATTCCTATTACAAAGTTCTTCTTGTGCTGCTGATAAGTACCCAAATAGCACTCCACTTTGCTGTAAGTTTCACAACAAATGCACTTGGTTATAGCTCGCTGATTAAATGCTTGGAGGCACCCCACTTCACAAGTAAGCCTCCTGCTCAAAGGCCCTCAGCTTTACTTGCTTTGTGGATTGGGAAGCCCACTATGCAGGCTCTTGGTTCTGCTGCCACTGCTCTTCAGCCTCTGCTATCACATCTTTGTCTCCTGGGTCAAGGAGATGCAACAGATGTGCTCCGCTTCTGGCTCTTCTTCCTTAATGGTGGTGAGGTCCCCCTTCCTGCTTTTGAGCTGGCTCATTTTACATCCATGTCAGAGTGCCAAAGGTTTACAATTACAATTAGCCCTGTTAGCAATCACTTGTAACTGACTCCTATAATCGATTAGCATCTCCCTATGATTGTTTTCCTTGACTCATGAGAAAAAAAAGTTTGTTTGGTGAGAATTACAAAGACTACGGGTAGAAGAGCCATATGAAGCTATCCACTGTGTTGCACTGAGGATTAAAACAAGAAGAACAAAAAAACCCCAACATTTATGTTAATGTTAAACTTAAAATTCAAGATGGTCATTCCAGTTGAGCATTCTCTATAAAACCCTTCTGGTTTTCTGTATTCTTAACAGATATTCTTCAGGCGAGGTAGTGCGCTAGCAGTGATGCTTCCTCCTGGCTACTCCCGTTACTCTCGTACTTTCTCCTTTCATAGTGCCAAACTTGTAGATGGTACTTGGAGTTCATTGGGTCTTAGTTGTCTAGCCAGCTGTACTTCAGTCCTTCTGCACTTCAAGGGCATTCCTTTTTTTTAAATGCTGGTTTTAAGTATATACAACATGCATAAGCAAGCCAAGCATCTGACATAGTTACTGGGAGACAGAAACTGCTCATTAAAAACTTGTTGGTTTGAACTGTTGGTAAATTGACTTTTCTGAATATAGGAACTCTCTCCCATTCTTCATGTTCGCTGACGTTTATACTTTTTTTTTTTTTTTTAATGTTTTATTGTGAATTATGTGATAGCTTACATGGGAGGACCTTAGTTTTACATTCATCCTATCGTATATCGTTTCATTGCCATGGTTACAATCCCCTCCATGCATTACCAACCAACCAAAGTGTATACCCTGCAAGCCTGCCCCTCCAGTCGTCAGCACACAGCCCCTCTCCCTCTCTGGGTCTAAAGTCACCAGCCACTCCATCTCTCCATGTCATCATCTCTGCCTCCATCTCTGGTGTCACTGCTTCTGTGGGTAGGGTCCCACACTCCATTCTTCTCCCTTGATGGTCCCACAGACCTCCGTTCCTAGACTGCAAGGTCAGTCACTCCCCTCCTTGCTACAAAGTGTCTACTTTTACATTTCTAACCCTCACAAGCAGTCCTGATGACAGTTATTACTATTGTATCACAAGAGACCTATCCGCATTTTCTTTCATCAGCCCCGCCCAGGCAGATTGGATACTACTCAGTGTAGCAGTATCCTTCCTCCATGCCCTCTGGATCTAGGCTCCTTCTAGAAAGCTTGTAAGCCAGTCACTTCTTGCCTTTGTAGCCCCCTCATTTTGGGTAGCCAATGTGCAAGTTGCCCATCCTTATCTACTCTGTGCATGGAGGGGGTGGGAATGATCCTTGCTGTAAAGATTTATTCCCTCTTTTGAGCTACTGCATCCATAGGTGTAGGTCAAGTTCATCAAATTGTATCAGATCTCTTTTTTTCCCTCTCCTCCTCTTTCTTCTTCTAGTTGAGCTCTGATCATCCGGTCATTGAAGCCAAGTCAAATGGGTATTATCTGCAAATGTGGGTGTTCTTGTGTATATGCCCTCTCTTCTTACCAGCTGGACGCTTCACTCTCCACTCTGGTCCTCTGTAGCTATGTCACTGACTCTGGGCCCAAGAGTCCCCAGGTCTTGCCACACTGCTGACCAACCAGGTCTCCACAGGAGTCTATTGAACATTGTAGGGCTTAGCTTGCAGTTTCATTGCTGTTTTTCCCTCACATCCCCTTATCTGTCGCGATCATGGTCACCAATCAGAGCGTGTATTCTCATTGAGTCTTAGTCTTGGAAGGGGGCTCGGTCATTTACACTAAACCCACCAATTAGAATGTGTTTGTATGTGTGTGTGTTTGTATGTCTGTGAACTTTTCATTGTACTGGTGAAACAATAGAAATAAAGCTAGCCTAACCATCATCACACAGCTTACTGTGTAGTTAGAATTAGGGTTCAGGTCTTCTTACCAAACACCTTTACAAACCTATTTGCTTCTCTTCTGTTCCATTCAAGAAGCATTTTGGGATTTACTCATACAGCTTTGTTCTAGACAGAAACAAATAATGGCAAAGCATTTCAGAATCATCCAAACCCTATACCTACACCTGTGTCCGCCAGATAGGATGGAGTGAGCCTGGGCTGCAATCTATGCTACCTTCTGGATCTTTCCTCCCACCTTTCCCCCACAGAAAACATGATGTTTTTGGCATGAGTTCTCATTTCAAATCTGTCTGCATTTCATTAGGCAGTACAGTCCACTTTCCCTGAATTACTTTCACAAATTACTTTCACTGAATTTGGACCCTAAAAACAGAATTAATGCTCTCCATTTTAAAATCACTGGCAAGAAAAACTGAGCACTGAGCATCCTTGATTTTATCTTTTAAACAGATTAACTTATTTTCAGATAAATATGACATCCTGGCTAGTAATCAGGTATTTTTTGTTTTGTTTTGTTTTTATGGTAGAAATAGCCATAGTTTGGATGTCTTTGATAAATCAGAGAGATCGACAAAGTTAGTTGCTAGTAATGAAAGTTACATCTCGGGCATTCTGTAATCATCTGAGTATTTTTTTTTCCCCTTCTGTGTAATTCTTCACTTTTAAAAGTTGACATTATGAAACCCTTATTAATGATGTAGTTATCTTTTCCTCCATCTCTCTAGAGATTGTTGTAAAATAGGCAGTACATTTGATAACACCGTATGTGCCAGTTATACTGCATAGGATTTGCCCTGAAAGGATCTTAAGAGTCTATAACCTGGGGAAAATTCCTGTTGGGCACATTGTTCTTTTGTAAGATGTGGTATGGTGGTTTGTTTTTTTCTGTTTGTTTGTTTGTTTTTGGCATGGTGGTTTTTATCTCTTTGCAAATAGACCTAACAAAGCTTATGTCCATTTTAACAATTTTTGTTTAAGTAGCATTGATTACATTCTTCAAATTGTGCACTAATTTTGCTATCCTCCTTCTCCAAATTATTCTATTACCATTAACATAAACTCATAATCCTCTAAGCAAGAACTCCCTTTCTCCCTCCTCTCTATCCCATTTGCTACCTATTTGCTTCTCTTCTGTTTAATTCAAGTGCTTGGAGGCACCCCACTTCACAAGTGAGCCTCTTTGGTTTCTGTATGTTTTAACAAGATCCCTAAGTGATTCTTAGTTACTTGAGATTGTATAATAAGATCTCATTAAAGTGTAGATTCAGATTCAGTATATCTGAATGCAAATTCTCAGCATGGGTCGAACCATACTGAACATTTGCAGTCCTGGTTTCTAAGGCTGTAAATGTTTACAGCAGCTGATTGCCACATTTGTCTCCTGTAGAGCAGTTGGTGTATTCTAATTGAATTTGGTGGATCTTGGGGTTAGCAGCCAAGCACTTAACCACTGCATCACAAGAGCTCCTTAATTGGAAAATAAACCAAAACCAAACTCTTGCAGTTGAGTTGTTTCTGACTCATAGTCTCTACATAAGGTTTCCATGATTGTAAATCTTTACTGGATCATACGTACAGTCCAATTTTTTTCCTAGGGAATGACTAGTGGGTTTAAACCACTGAGCTTGCAGTTGGAAGCCCAGTTAAAGACCCTACTGGGTCCTTAATTGGTACATACTAAGTGCTTTAAAAATGTTAGATTCTTATTATCCTTGTCCATTTATACTCACTTACCAGTGATTTTGTTATTTTTGTAGTCTTCTCATTATGGAACTTTACTTATTTTTTTTCATCTGATCCTCCAGCCTCAGTTCATGTTATCTATGTTAATTTCCTTATGGCATATTTTTCCAAGTGTACCTACTTGGTACAGTGATGGTCACAAATGTAGCAACAATTGTGAGGT